ATTACACTCTCTTAGTCGAAAATGTGGTTTATATAAAATTACAGGCTTGAATAAAATAATGTAATACACTCGGTGCTAGCCGTATATCTCACTCACTGTCCTACGACTCAGCGCGCAACGCTCCAATCTCGCAAGAACAAAAGACATTCACAATTATAATTTAGATATCGCTTCGGCGGATGGCGCTTCTTACGTCGCGTAAATAAGGGAGTAACCTTACTATAACAATATACAACGAGTGGCCCGAACTATCCAAGAAATTAGAAACATTATTAGAAAATCGAGTTATGAAGGATGTAACTTTTGCTAAGCAACTAGAAGAAATCCAACTATATCAGAAAGGAGATGGTAATGAACAAGTATTTTATGTGGAATAAAAAATAAAAAATTAAGTTAATAAATGCGAAGATCATTATTGAACTATATTTTACAGAACGTAAAGATGCTGTATTGCTTTCTTTAATACCTGTACTGTGTCCTTCTAATGTGCGATTAAGAATACCAGGAGGAAAAAAGATATGGCGACCTACTATAGCAGAATCAGTAGATGCTTTTATTTGTCATATTAAGGTAAGATATTTGCTCATGATTAATCGATATTTTATTACAGTTTAATAAAATCAATGAATAAACATTATCTTTTATTTAACTTAATATATTGTAAGTATATTGTAGTACATTAATTTTTAATTTTTTAATAAAAATTTACATTATAGGTCCCAGGAGAGTTGGAAAGAATAAAACGTCGAAGACAAGAAAAAGCCATTAAAGTAAAAGACACTGTACAGCCATATATAATTGCAGTAGGTCCACAATTAACTGCAATTGAGATATTTTATATCATCATTAATGATATTATGTATAAAATGGAAAATGTGTTAAAGGCTGTTGACTATTTATATAAGATTTTTCAAGTTCTTAACATAAAATATCCACCTGCTTGTGAACAAGTTTGGCTATTTATACAAAAATATATTTATGGACGAACAACAAAGTGGGATAAGTATGATAAATCTGTGATGAATCTAATCGATCATTTAAAGAGAACGTAAAAATAAAATATCAAGTACAGTATTAATTTAGACTAAGAATTAGATTCATAAAATAAGTCTTGTAAGTGTGATTCTATCATTCAGGATGTTCCGTTGCCATTTATGTGGAATAAGATTCAAAGATGTTAATCTGTTTATCCGTCATTTTTCTTTATTTCATATATTTGAAACATGCAATCGTTACACATGTATGCAAAATAAATGTTATCGCATTTTTCAAAACATAAACGTTTTTAAAAATCATTTGATTACTAATCATTCGGAAGATCATCAAAAATTTTTGAAGGAGACTATACAAATTTTTGCTGTTGATTCATCGGCCACAAGTAATAATAGTAACAGAGATTGTAGTAGTCTTTCTTTCGACTCATTTATGAGTGAAGATGAATTTATTAATGATTTTGATAATACGGAACAGATTCTTGTTGACTTAAAAAAACAATTATCACATGAAACAGCAAAATTCGTGTCCAGTTTTTATAACGAATTGTCAATGCATAGAAGGCATGTGCAAACAATTGTTGATTCTACACGTATGTTCGTTAATGAAATAATATTTTCCTATCTTAAGCCGAATGTTACAAATTTTGTCAAAAACGTTGCCGATGCTCAACATAAAATTGATGAAATTTTTAACTTATTTGAAAATCCATTTGAATCACTTGATTCAGAATTCAAGCGATTTGAATATTTTAAAGAACAAGGTACATTTATACAACCAGAAGCTTATGTAATTGGACAACAAACTGTCGGGAAAAGAATTAATTCGAATTACGTAATTGTACCCACCAATGTCACTGGTCAATATGTGTCTATAAAGTTAGTTATACAAAAATTATTTGCTTTACCTAATTTCTTACAACAAATTTTAAATTACATGCAAAATTTATCAATGGAGTCGAATGGAGTTTCAAATATAATTCAGGTAACATCATTTAAAAAATTACAAGAAAAGTACCGAAACAGAATAATTATTCCTATTATACTTTATTACGACGAATTTGAAGTGAATGATCCACTTGGCTCACAAAGTGGTGTTCATAAAATTGGTGCTGTATATTACTCTTTACCGTGTGTACCTCCATATGCTCAATCTCAACTTATTAATATACAGATTGCATTATTATTTAATAGTAATAACAGAAAAGAATTTGGAAACCGAAATACTTTTTTACCACTAATTAAAGAATTAAAATTTTTACATAAGCATCCAGTTTTCACGACAAATGATAATATTGATATTTATGTAAATTGTCGCTTATTTGTAGCAGATAATCTTGGTCGTCATGAAATAGGCGGTTTTATTCAGTCTTTTTCAGCCAATAATCCCTGTTCAGTGTGAAAAATATCTCGTAACGAATTATTGAGTACAACTAATGAAAAACCTGAACTTTTACGTAATATAGAAAATTACAATCTTTATGTTGAAAAAAATGATGTAAGTTCTACTGGAATACATGAAGAATGTGTATTTAATGAAATAGAAGACTTTCACATTTTGGAAAACAGTGCTCTTGATATCATGCATGATATTTATGAAGGAGTTTGCGAATACGATCTGTCTCAAATTCTATTACATTATATTACAAATTTAAAACTGTTTACACTTCAAGACTTAAACGATCGTATCGGAGCTTTTGACTTTGGCGTAAGTGAATTAGGACATCGAATTCCTTTCTTAAAAAGAGAAAAATTAAATAACCATCGTTTAGGTTTTTCTGCAACTCAAGCAATACGTTTTATGAAATATTTTGGTCTCATTATTGGCGATCTTGTACCTTTAGATGATTCTCATTGGGAATTGTACCTTACTCTAAGAGCAATAATTGATATTTTAAATGCTACATCTTTTTTGTTACAAGAAGTTGAATATTTGCAATGTTTGGTAACGAAACATCATGAAATTTACGTTAGACTATTTGGTAATACTTTGAAACCAAAACATCATAATATGTTGCATTACCCACGACTTATGCTTCGGGTAGGACCTTTAGTGAATCTTTGGTGTATGCGTTTTGAAGCAAAACATAAAGAGTTCAAGATAGAATCACATATTATAACTAGTAGAAAAAATTTGCCACTTACTCTTGCGTTGAAACATCAGTTAAGATTGAATGATAGGTTACTTAATGAAATTTCATTAAGTAATGAAATGTTAGTTGGACCAAGTGTTTCTACAAATTCAATATATATTCATCCTCATTTTAATTTGTTTAAAGAATATTTATCACAAACTTATACAATTATTTCATGGATTAAAATCCAAAGCATTTTATTTAAGCCACAATTTGTGTTAAATTTAAGTGTAACAGATATGTTACCTGTTTTTGGTATTATCCATTTCATTTGTTTAAATAGAGAAAAAAAACCGTTTTTTGTTTTACAAGTCTTAGAAACACTTAGTTTTTCGAGACATTTGTACGCTTATCGCGTTTCGTTTACAACAAAATATAAAATTTTAAAATGTAACAAGTACATTAATAAGTATATCATTACTTCTTTAGTGAAATCAGTAGATACTGATTATTTTGTAATACAAGAATAATAAAATAAAATAAAAGCAATACAATAATGTAAGGTTATAACCCGAAAAAAACTATTGTATCAAATTAAACAATCAAAATCCAAGTTGTATTAACGTATACATGATTTTAAAAAATTTAACTTAATAAATTAAAAATATAGTATTACCAAAAAGAAGTGAAATCAAAATATTATTTCAAGTATATTTATTGTAATTGAATTAAAAACTAAAAAAAATATACCTCGA